GCCAGGACTCCTGGGTTCTCTCCCCGGCTCTGGGAGGGGAGTGGGGTGTAGTGGTTAGAGCAGGGGGGGCTGGGAGCCAGGACTCCTGGGTTCTCTCCCCGGCTCTGGGAGGGGAGTGGGGTCTAGTGGTTAGAGCAGGGGGGGCTGGGAGCCAGGACTCCTGGGTTCCATCCCAGCTCTGCTCCCAGGTGTCCAACCTGACGGTGGAGAACCAGACGTTCGCCGAGGCCGTGGAGCTGCCAGGGCTGGTGTTCGCGGTAACCAAGTTCGACGGGATCCTGGGGATGGGGTACCCCGTCCTCTCGGTGCGTGGGGTCACCCCAGTCTTCGACAGCATGATGGCGCAGGGGCTGCTGGACCAGAACATCTTCTCCTTCCACCTCCGCAGGTCAAAGCCCCTGGCGGCCGGACCCCTGAGTCCCCCGGCACCCGGACCCCTGAGCCCCCCGGTGCCCTTTGACCCCAGAGCCCCCCGACCTCAGAGACCCCCGGTGCCCTTTGACCCCAGAGACCCCCAGCGCCCGGATCCCTGAGCCCCCCGGTGTCCCTCGACCCCAGAGCCCCCCGGCGCCCGGATCCCTGAGCCCCCCGGTGCCCTTCGACCCCAGAGCCCCCCGACCCCAGAGCCCCCCGGCGCCCAGACCCCTGAGCATCCCTGTGCCCTTCGACCCCAGAGCCCCCCGGGGCCCGAACCCCTGAGTCTCTCGGTGCCCTTCGACCCCAGAGCCCCCCGGCGTCCGGACCCCTGAGTCCCTCGGTGTTCTCAGAGCCCCGGCACCTGGACCCCAAAGCCCCCTGGTGCCTGGACCCCTGAGTCCCTCGGTGCCCTTCGACCCCAGAGCCCCCTGGTGCCTGGACCCTGGATTGCCTGGAGCCCCTCGGCAACCCTGGACTCCCAGTGCCCAGACCCATGAGCCCCCTGGTGTCCAGACCCTGGAGTTCCCTCTCCCACGGTGTCCCCAGACCCCCAGTGCCCAACCCAGCACCCATCCCCACATCCCCAAACCCTCATTCCCCCCAGCACCCCACCCCCAATGCCCCAGGAGCCCAGGCCCTGCCCCCCCAAAGCCCCCCAGCACCCGAGTTCCCCATCCCCTGGCCAACACCCCAGCCAGCCCCCCTGCCCCCAGCCCCCTCCTGCCTGAGATCCCCAGGCCCAGCCCCCAAGCTCTCTCTCACCCCCGGTTTGCAGGGGCTCGGCGGAGGACGGGGGTGAGCTGCTGCTGGGGGGCATGGATCCGGGGCTGTACGAGGGGGAGCTGCATTATGTGCCCGTGTCCCGCAAGGCCTACTGGCAGATCAAGGTGGACAAGTGAGTACCCCCCTAAAGCCTTCGGAGCCCCCCAGAACCTCCCAGACCTCCCCAACTCTCTGGACCCCCCTGGGACCCCTCCCAGTCCTCAGTACCCCCCCGAGCCTTGGACCCCCCCCGAACCCCCGGACCTCCATCTGATTCCCAGAACCCCCCCC